ACAATAGGGCAGGCTTTGTCCAGGGGCCTGGTGCATCTTCATTGACCTTGGAAGTGAGGGACCGGGAAGACCAAGGGGAGGCCATTTCCTTCCTTCTCTGGCTGCAGGTTTTAATGTCACCTTTGTTGGTCTGCGCCCCTGGAGGCTGAACTGAAGAGAGAGGCTTGAGGCTGCCCCCTCCCTCCTGGACAAAATGGTGCATGCTTTTCCTGTTTAAACAGGGCACAGTTGTGAAGTGCCCTGACTTCGCACACACCAAGGCCCGGCAACGGCTGCAATAAATCAATAGGAAAATAGAAGCTGCCAGTTAGACTAAACAAGTGCATTTGCAAAGACAGCTAGCCCTCATTAATCACTCTGACAGTCCTAAAAACACATTTCCCCTTTAATGACTGTATTTGGATAATCAGTGCTTTTTCCTCCTCAGTCAGAGTTTGAGTAACAGACAGCTGGTGTTATTACAGCCATGGGAGAGGGAGTGCTGGGATTAGGGTCGACCAAGAGCCATCCACTGGAGGTCTCTGCAAACGCAAGCTGGTTGGCTGCAAAGCTGTTGTTAGGCAATAATGAGGGGATCTTTGTACCGCCATGGACAGCTCAGGGCAGCCATGTGCAAGTTGCTCCCAAACCTCCCCACCCGCCTGCATCATGTGAATGAAAAACCTCATGTCAGTTTTAGGAGCTCTGGCCATTTGACCTGGGCTGGGGGCAGGCGGGAGTTTCTCTGGCAGAAAGGAAAGAATCTGGGGTAGATGTGATTTGGGCTTTGTTTCCTTTAGGTGACTTTGGCTTTCAGGAGAAAGTTTGAAACCCAGCACATTCCTCTTTATAAATGATGTAACACATTAATGCACAGCACATTATGAAAATGGTAATTCAAACCCATAGTGCTCCAAATTAAACCATACATTATCAGATGCACTCAACCATCTATTTTGCAAAAAGACAGGATGAATGAAATCAAATCAAACAGAAAACTGGAGTGCAGCTTCCCCTACAGAATGATTAATAAGGTGCAAGCCCCAGGATTATTGCAAGATGGATTCCACCCAGCCCTGACATGCATCAAGGAAAGGTTAGCTCCTACACCCAGATGGAGTGAGGAAGGCTGTCTGTGAATGGAGGAGGGCAAGTTTCTCAGATGGGCGTGGGGGAGGATGGTTGGGAAGGCAAAACACACCCACTTTCGTTTGAGACAAGTCTGTGTCTGAGGGTAAGCCTCTGTTCCTTCTCTCCCTGGTGCCCACAAGGCCACAAAAATAACCCAGCAAGAGGTGTGAAAACAGGACCTGGAGCCAGGAACACTGGGAGTCTCAGGTTCCAGTTTTGTGGCTTCCACCCAGTGCCTTGGGAACACAGGGCCCATTCCTGGTGGCCTGGAGAGACCAGGAGAGAGAGGAGGAGGAAAAAGCTTCTGAGAAGGGAGGGGAGGCACAAAGTGGAGGTGATTCTCAAAGAGTTGCTCGATATATTAATTATACAAATAGGCAGTTGTTGGGGGCCTACCTCTCTATCAAAATGGCAATTAATAGGAATTAAGCTATTGAAAGTAACAAGCTCCTCACTAGCTAATTAAAAGAGGCACATTTCTTAGGAAAATCTCCAGTTTATGGGAGGGGAGAACTGTTTAAGAGTAAGGACCTTGGGCTGGAGAGATGGCTCAGCGGTTAAGAACACTGGTTGTTCTTACAGAAGACCCGGTTTCGAATCCCAGCACCCACATGGCAGCTAACAACTGTCCGTAACTCCAGTTCTAGGGGATCTGACAGCCTCTGCTGAGTGCACTTACCTACATGCAGGCAATACACACATACACATAAAAATACTAAAATAAAATATTAAGAGTAAGGACCTTATTACCAGCCTTTACTCACTATGGTAGCTTAGGAGTTAGTTCCATCAGGCTCAGCATACCCAGTTCCAAACTCAATAGTTTTCTGATATGCATTTTCACACCTAAGGTGTAGGCCAAGCAGCTATTAGCAAAAATTTAAAAAAATATACAGCTGTGGGAGATAAGACTCTTTTTCCATTTTCCCTCCTCAGGGAGGAGGGACTACAGACCCCAAAGTGAAAGAAAAAGTTCAGTTCCTTCCTGCTGGAGAAGCAGTTTCCATGAGTTTTAACAGAAACAGAAAGGGATCTGCAGAAAGAAGGGGGACTTGGGTGGAAAGGAAGATGGGAAAGAATAACAAACAGCAAAACAGTAGAGAAAAATCCAAAAGCAGGATTCCGTGCAGTTCAAGTCTGTAGAAGATGCCGGGCCACCTGGGACCCGGTGAAATCCAACAACATTGATTTCCCCAGGGAGACCTGGGGCTGGATGAGGGTGACTTTCCCAGCTATTTCAGCCTGTCAGGACTTGGGTTCTCCATGTTTAGTGACGTCAGTCAGCAGCCAGGGCTTTTCTCCCCCCTGGGACATGTGCAGTCCTGGGGTGGTCAGCATTGGTACCAGGAAAAAAAAAACAACCCAAACTTGTTTTCTTAATGTTGCCCAGATACAGAGATTTGAGGGCACATACACACGGACGTGCATGCTTTGTTCTGAAGTGTGATGGAGTTTGGAGCAGAGCAGAGCCCAATCCACACACCTCTGCGGTTCTGTCCTGGACTTCATGGATCGTGGAAGGAGGTGGAGAAGGCACCGCCAAGTCTGACACTTGCCCTCTGCTTACAGAGCTTCTGCATCCGGAAACCTGCCAGAAAGGAACTACCGAACTACCGTTAAGCAACTCCCTTCACAGAGCCAGCAACACACAGCATCACCAACAGATCAGAGCCCCGGGTACCCAAGCGGAGGAGCGAGGCTGCAGCAGGTGCGGTTGCACAGGTCCAGCGAGCACCTGCACGCCCCGTCCGGCCGCTGCACAGTCGTGGAGTGGCGCAGGGTCTGTGAGCCCTAGGCAGCTGGTGCCTCCAGAGCCGGGGCTCAGGGCATCCCGGGCACTAGGTGCGGGGCAGGTAATTCTAGGCGGCTGGCAAATGCCAGGAAAACGCCCCAATAAACGTCACAGAAGCCAGTGTCGGTGGACGAGTGCAAGTACAAAGAGCCAGGTCTGGGACTTTGAGCCAGGTTTGGGACTTTGAGCCAGGTTTGGCTCAAAATAGCTTGGAGGTCCCGAGTCGTCTGCAAAATCTCAGCAAAACCCAAACCTGGTTCCTAGTTTCCAGATTCACGGATGACTCAGATAATGTCACCTAGTGCTGGCCAGGGAGTCCCCAAGCCCCGAAGAACACCCTTTAAGCAAGCGTTGTCTGCCCTTTAACCGGGTAGACAACCTCTGCCCCCAAAGCAGTGCGTACGGTCGTCTGCGCAGGGGCGCGCCAGGAGGTGCGGGTCAGGCAGGAGCCCGCGGCCTCCGGCTGCAGCTCGTCTTCCCGCCACCAGGTGGCACCGGAGGCACGCGGCTGCCCGCCCTCCCGCCGGGTCTGCGCAGGCCCAGTTTCTAGTCTCAGTCCGGTGCTTCTCCAATTTGGACCCAGAGAAGATCCACTTTCACGCACGCCCTCCAACCCTGATCCCAGCAAGTGCCAAGGCCTTTGAAGCGACGCTGGGAGCCACACAACCAAATGGAAAAAGAGATGGCTTTATGCAATGCTGCAATGCGTTGGCACCAGTCTGCTCCTGGAGGAAAGGCCTGGAACTCAGTTCCACAGCCATGTCAGGACACCCGACAGCGTTAGGCAAAAGCCAACAGGAGCCTGCGCTTGGGTGTCTGGAAGTGGGGCTGTGGATCAGGCAAGAGAGAAACACCACGGTGTGAATATAGCCAAGTATTCCATTTATTAACAAAATAAGTCTTACCAAGGGAGAGCTCTGTCCACCCCACGAGAGGCCTCGCAGCCCAGGCGCTTGCTGCGTGGGACCAGGAGGGAGGGAAGGTGTGGGAAAGACCCTGTTGAGTCTTCACTTCTAGCCACTGCAGGAGCCCATGGGAAACCCCCCCCCCCACCGTCAGCTCTGGGGGTTGCTGGCTCAGGTGTGGGGCAGGGTGCAAGGGGCTGCTGTGATCCGAGGGCTCCCTGAGTCCCCAGCCTGTCCCCAACAGAGCTACCAAGGTTGTATTGTACTTCTGCTGACTTTGGGACCGCGGTCTGCGCTTTGGAGAGATCCATCAAGGATCACCAGCCCCGCCCCTGCCGCCAGGGGTGGGGTCATAGGCCCAATTAAGATGAGAAAAAACAAAAAACAAAAAACAAAAAAAAACTCAAACCAAAAAACGATGCGGATAAAGTACTTCGCAAAATATAAAGAGCAAAATTTCGCGCCAGCAGGGCCTTCGAGAGCGTATAACTGGATCACCCTCGTTCCCATGCGCCGCAGCCTGAGTGCCGGGCAGGGTGTGGAAGGGGGCGGTGGTTAGAGTGGATGGTAGGCTCAGTGGGAGGCCATGCCCCCCCCCCCCGCACGGAAAGCCTGCTGGTATCAGCCGGACTCTCCAAGCTCAGAGCAACCTGGGGATCCAGGCTGCAATGTGAGGGGCCAGGGCCTAGAACCATGTGCTCTAGGGGGACAGCGAGGGTCACTGGGGAGGGTCACAGAGCAGACTTGTGGATCAATAAAGCCCAAGATCGCCAGCCGCCAAGATTGCCCCCTCCACCCCCCAAAATTGTTACAAAAACTTTTTTTCTGTACAAAGGAAAAAAAAATCAAAACACGTGGAAATAAGAGGGAATGGAAGAAAACGGGAGAAATGCAGTTTAACAGTTAAGACTCATGCAAGAAACTCCCCAAGGCGGGGAAAGCTAAACGCGTGGACCCCAACTCTCCCTTCATTCCTTAAAACCAAACCAGTCCAAAAAAAAAATCACAAACAAAAACCAAACCACCTTAAAACTTATACCTAAGGAAAAGAAAAAAAAAAAAGAGCCAAGAGGGGAGGGGGATCATGTCATTATCTGTGTGGTTAATATTATTTGGGGAGACAGACTTTTTGCATACCATTGACTCGTGTGGCCCATTAATGCACTTATATTCCCAGCTTGTAAGCTAACATTACAGTAAATAAATACACAGTCCGGTGGGGAGGGTCTGGGCTGGATCCTGGTAGGGGTAAGCAGTAGTGGAGGTTGCAGCGTCGAGGGCGGTGGGGACCGGGGAGGAAGGGGCGGGAAAGGGCTGGGAGGGGCCAGAGCTGTAGTTACTGGTATCCGAGCGCCGAGGCGGAGGCGAGTCTCTGTCCGTACAGCGCGTAGGGTGAGTAGTAGGGTCCGGCTGTGGGGAGGGACGGCACTGCCAGGCCCCCAGCTGTGGATAAGTGGCTCTTGCCATACGGGTGGTATCGACTTAGCCCCAAAGTGTGTGGACTCCGCAACGACAGCGACCCGGGGCTGCCCGGGGCGGCGGGCGGGGGGAGATGCAGGTGGCAGGAAGCGGCGGCGGCGGCTGCGGCGGCGGCGCTGCCCAGGCCCGAGGCCCCGGGGTAGGCGGCCAGCAGTTTCTCCGCGCCCGGCAGGGCTGTGTGAGTCCGTAGGTGGCTGAGCAGCTCCTCCGAGGTGGCGAAGCGCTTGTCGCAGGGCCCGCTCGCCGCCACCCAGTTGCAGCTGTGCGGCAGCGGTTCGTTCTGCAGCATGAAGCCGTAGGTGTAGAGTGGGTGACCCGGGAGCGCGGCCTGAGCGGCGCTGGACGAGAGGGCGGCGGGCTGCAGCGGGTGGCCGGGGTACACCAGCGGGTAGCCCCCCGCCTTGAGGCTGGGCCCCGTGGGGTCGTGCGCACTGCACGTGGAGCAGCTGGAGCCGCCGAGGTGCGAGGCGCTGTGGTAGCCTCCCAGGCAGTAGGGGTCGCGGCATATTCCCTGCAGGAAGGACGGCGGGGAGGCCCCGGTGAGGGGGCTGGAGCTGGGCGGCTTGCCCGGTGGCAGGCCCAGGCCCCCGGACAGCTGGCTTCCCACGAGGCCAGGCTTGCTGGGATCCAGGCCAGGCACGAACTGAGCCGGGTAGCCAGCGTAGGCGCCCACGATGGAGCCGTGGTAGCCGATGCTGGAGGGCGGCAGCGGGAACACCGAGTGGCCGGGCTTGTAGGGCGACACCGGGGCCACGTGGCCCGCCCCTACCAGCGCCGAGGGCGGCTCCGACTTGCGCCCCGAAGCCCCCGCCTCCGGGCCGCTGTGCGCGGCGTCCGCTCCGCTGCCCCGGCTCGCGGCCGCCCCACGTGGCGCCCCTACCAGCGCCGAGGGCGGCTCCGACTTGCGCCCCGAAGCCCCCGCCTCCGGGCCGCTGTGCGCGGCGTCCGCTCCGCTGCCCCGGCTCGCGGCCGCGGGCTCCGGGCTGGGCTTGGGCTCCGGGTCTTTCTTGTCCAGCTCCCCGCAGCCACCCCCGCCGTTCTTGCAGTCCGAGTGGTGCGGGGAAGCTCCGCGGGAGCCGCCGGGCGAGGACGCGTTGGACGAGGTGGAGACCGGCGCTCCATGCGGGGGGAAGGGAGGGCAGGCGGCGCTGGGGACCCTGAAGCCCGCCTTGTCTCCGGGGGACGAGGAGGACGAGGAGGAGGTGGAGGACACGGAGGAAGAGCCGCTGTCTTTGCGCGAGTCGCCGCCGGAGCCCTTGGAGTAGGGCTTGAAGCTGGACTTGTCCTCGGGCGAGTCCCCGAGCGGCTTGAGCGCGGCGGCCGCAGAGGCGGCGCCCTGGGCGGAGCGGCTCGGGTCTTTCTCGGATCCCAGCGCGCTGGCCGCAGCTACGGAGTTGAGCTTGGACGAGGGCGGCGGGTCGGGCTTGCCGATCTGCGAGCAGGTCTGGGCCAGCAATGCCAACGGGCTCTTCTTGGCGTCCAGCTGTGGGAGACAGTGGCGAGGAGAGGGAGAAGGGATGAGACCAGGGCCGCTACGGGGCGCGCGCCAGGGCTCGGCGGAGCCGGTCGTGGAGAGCGGGCCCGGTTCGGGCGGGGCCGGAGAGAAGCTCACCAGGGCCATCGCGCGCAAAGGGGGGCGTCTCCGGAGTCGCAGTGGCGACTCGCCCCTTGGCACCTAATCCCCCTCTCCTCCCGGCCTTGGGGAATAACTTCAGCCCGCAGTTGGGCAGAACTTCGTTTGGGACGGGTTTCTGGGGCGGGCGCCCGGGGGTAGGCGAGGAGAGGCGCCTTCCAAAGGCAGAGCCGCAGCGGGTGCGCCGCCGCCCCTCCTTCTCCCTCCCGGGGAGGACGCTCAGAAGTTGGCGGGGGAGGAAGACCCGGGATCCAGGGTGTCCCCACCAGACCGCGGCGGTGCGGAGAAGGACCCGGCGCTTCCAGGAAAACCAGTGGGGGCGGGGGCGGCCCAGCAGAGACCGCACCGGACAGGAAACCGGGGGCCGGAGCAAAAGTAAAGGACTCGGCGCGCACTCCCAAAGCAAAATCAACCCGGCTAGGTCGGAGGCGCCGCGGGGAGCCTTCCACTCGGGGGTCAGGGAGAACCCGCCCGGGCCCGGTCCCCGTCCTCCTCCGCCTGAAGTCCGCCAGCATGGCGGGACTCGGGCGTCGCGCCGAACTACCCGGAGCAGGGCCACCGACTCAGCGCGGTTGGCGCAAGGGGCCGGCGCAGGGTGGGCAGCGCCCAGGAGACTGACCTCAATGGGGCTGACGGGAGTGGAGGACAGCGGCTGCAGGTACTCCGGGTGCAGGAGGTGACCCGTGTGAGCGCTCAGCATCTTCAGGACCCTGATCGGGAGCCGGTTCGCCTGGCGCAGGGGGTCCGCCGGGGGCAGGAGGGACACCACCGCCGGCCTCTTCCCGCCGCCGCCGCTGCCGCTGCCGCTGCTTTCGGGTGTCCTTGGGTTAGATCCAGCGGGCGAATCGCTCATTTGGAGGAGGCAGCGCCGCTGGGGGGGCGGGGAGGGAGGGGAAGCTCCGGGAGGCGAGCTCCCGGGGCGGGTGGGCTTGCTCCGCAGCGCCGGGCGCCGTGCGGCAGTCGCCGTGCAGCAATAGCTGCGCCCCCGCGCCGCCTCCCCTCCTCCACCGCCGCCGCCGCCGCCGCCGCCGCCGCCGCCACCAGCCCAGGCGAGCAACACAAAAACCTTCGCCTTCCGCGAGCCGCACGTCAAATAGCCGCGATCCGCAGCCACACTTCAAAGGGATCGCCGCGCCCGCCCAATCGCGGCCCGCGCCCGGACCCCGGGGCGGGGAGAGCGGCGGGCGGAGGCCGGCGCCGCCGGTGGGCGGGGACAGTCTTAAAGGGCCCTCGCCGCCAGGCCTCGGCCGCTGGGCTTCAGCGCCTCCCCAGCTCTGCCCCGCTGCGCTGGCCACCAGGTCCCCGAGGGATGGGGCGCAGGCTCGGTCTCTGCCGCGCTGGTTTTACGGTCGCTGGCTCCCCTCTCGCTTTCCTTTCCCACCAGTGGGAGGTGGTGCTGGTAGGGCCGTCACCCCGGGTCTGGCTGCGGATGGGGGCGGGAGCGCACGGCGCCGGCTCGGGTCTGGGGATCCGAGACTCTCCCCGAGGCCGCCTGGGGGCGGGCGGTGCCTGGAGAGCCCGGCTCCTTCTCCAACGCGACCCCGGCCGGCTCTTTCCCCTAATTGGCCTCTCCCGGATGTGTTCACTTGGAAGTGCCGGAGCCCGGGAGGCATCCACTTTCCCAGGGCGCGGCGGGAGGCTTTTCAACTACTTTGAGCGCGCCCAGCCAGCCTGCAAATGGAAGGACTCCCTTCCTGGGTGAGATGGTCTCGGCGAAGCGCGGTACTCCGGGTTGAGAACGTAGCAGGCAGGTGCCTGGAGCCTTGGTCGTGTTTAGGTGTGTTTTGGGGCTTATGTCCTGTTTAAAGACTAAACTGTACCCTGACTGGCTGCTGGGGCGGGTAGGGTCACAGGAGAGGCCCGTATCCTTGAGGAGCGGGGGCGGTCTCAGCACTGCACCATGAAACATACTCTAGAGATTTGGCCCCCTCGTTCTCCCACCCAGGGAATATGCACAGGCTTTCCCCAGGGAAATTTCGAAATAAAAACTTTTTATTAATAACAGAACCCCCTCAGATTCTCCCAGGCCTCCTGGATAAAGTATACATTTCCAGTTTCATACTTGGTAGATTTTACATAGTCATCGTCCTGACCTTAAAGTTCCCAGATCCTTGGATCCATGGCTCGTGAGAGTCAGAGGAGAGGCTGGTCCTTTGTGCGCTGACTATGGTGAGCACTGCTTCCTGTTCTAGGCGACCAGTGGAGGCGCGCTGGTGTCACTGTCTCCTTTTGAGTATTACTTTCCCAGCCCTGATCAGTCACTCAAATAGTCAAGTCTGTCTTTCTAGGTGTATTGCCCCAGGACTATCTGTTTTGGGCTGTGTAGTGCCGACCAAGTCTCGTTTCGGACTTTGTACTGACCAATGACTTGAGACCACTTGAGAACCCCAAGACTGGGCCAGGAGATTGCAAAAGGGATATTCCAAGCGGAAGGAGGAATTGCGCAGAACAATCACGACCTTTATCACACTCAGGAAAGAAGACAGCAGGCCACACCAGTCACACACTAAAGAGTACTCCCTGGTGCCGTGCTGATTAGGGGACACAGCCTTCTCTTCCTTCACATTTCATTCGGTAAAATGAGTTGAAAAGGGTGCCCCGATTGGGAGGTATCTCAGGAGTTATTGCAGCAAGAGGGACTCAGGAATGGAAGGCAGGAGGGCGATCTCACTTATTTCACCATTCAGGGTTCTGCCTCTCATGCCCACCAGCTCTGCTCAGACCAGCTTATACGTTCTGACTTCGTGGTCAGAATCTTCAAAATTCTACTACAAGTTTGACCTGGTGGCTCCTGCTTGTAATCCCAGCACTCTGAAGGCCAAGGCAGGAGAGCAGCCTGGCCTACTTAAGTGACTTCCAGACCAGCTTGTGCTACAAGGTGAGACTCTATCTCAAATAAGCAAACCAACAAAGTCCATTGCAGGGCTATTTCAACCTACAGGGCCAGTTGGCCTTTAAGAGGCTTTTGCAGGGAAGAAACAATGGAAGACAGGTAAAGTGCAGAAGGGCTGGTCTTTATGGGTACCGTGGAGGTGGGAGGACTAGGAAGAGAGAAGACAGGAGACAGTAAAGATGAAAGACTCCTTGATTATTATAACCAGCCCAGCTGCAAGAGTGAGCCAAAAAAATCCTTCTAGGACCCAAGCAGATGTGTGTTAGAAATGATTAATGGGAAATGAGTTGGAGGGAAAAGAAAGCAGACACTTAGGAATGTGGACCGGGAAGAGGGGCAGGAGGAGCTCATGGACAGCTGAACAGTTACTCTGTTTGGAGTAAAAAGATGACCAATGAACAACAGGAGGACGCATGGGGTGTGAGTAGGACGGCCAGACTTGGGTAGTGGACAAGCAATTTGTCCATGAAATAATACATTGGCCTTTTAACAATCCTCATTCCCCAGCTCAAAGTAGTCATCGTCGATGGATCTCAGTACCAGACTGCATTGCTGTCTGGGCCAGACCTCCTTCCTCTTCCTGAACAGGGAGTAGGACACACTCATCAGAGGACACAGAGGGTGGGGACACAGTTTGGGTGCTAGCGAGGCAGCAGTTGTTTTTGTCTTTTTTTCTTTCTGGATCTGTCCAATTTCCTTCTCAGAGAAAGTGGAAAACCATACTAAGCTAGGCTAGAGGCCTAATTAAACTGCTTGCAGAGGATTATTAAAATCACTAATTGGCATTCACTTAGCAAAAATATTTCTCTATATAGATACACTAGATCCTAGTAGCCTGAAAGGAAGTACAGTTTTAAAAGAAATGATTTGTCACCTGGGGAAGAATATGGCTCATTATTCACTTGGACCCTGTTTATTGAGGGCCAGCTGTGGGCAGAGCATTGTGTTAACGGGTGTGGTTGAAATGTCCGTGTCAAATGTTGCTGCACAGGACATGTGGCACAAGTTCCTCACTTGCAATAGAGAGGCAGATGTGTGGGGCCTTGCTATGTGCCAGCTCTCCTCTGGTGGCCCTGGGAATGAGGAGCCATGGTTCTGTTCAATAGGGCAGGGGTTAAGGCTTCAGGCTACTTGAGACTGTTCCCATGACACTGTCGTAAAGAACAACCCTGCATACTGGCAGTTTCTTTTTTCTTTTCTCTTTTCCCTTCTCTTTCTCTCACAGGATCTCACTGTGTAGCTCAGGCTGGGTAAGAACTCATGATCCTGCTACCTCCCAAGTGCTGGGGTGACAAGTTTGCCTGATTTCATGCCAGGTTCTCCAAGAGGCTGAGCAGTCACGTGGAGTGAGGTCTCTTGGAGCTAGGCTTCTGTGGTGCCATGGTGACCCTGGGCACAGTAACGTCCCTCCTGAGCTTCAGTTACCTCATGCATAAAATCTAAGAGTGGTCACTCCAGTGCTGGGAGGCCTCAGGCAGATAATACATGTCACCTGTGGATTGTTGGTGCAAAGAAAGTCCCAGGTCAGTGATGGCTGTGATTCAGTGCATTGTCTGCATCTTGGGAAACTTGCTCTGGGGAGTTTGAACATGTCATGTGTCACATGCCGGCACCCAGATCCAGAAGATCTCAGCCTAGACTGGGAGTTCGGCAGAAGTGACAGCAAACCTTTCCCAGGCTCCAGTCCAATGTGTCTTTATAAAAATGCCCCCTAGATACTATTGAGAAAAATCCTTTAGAAATTGTGAATATTTATAGATTTTTTCCACAACTTCAATTTACATAAAATTTGCCACCTAGGAAAAAATGCCTGAGTCAGGTGGAGAGCGAGAGGTGGTAGATTTGTTGTGTGGGGTTAATGTGTAGCTTTCACTCCTTGCTGAGACTGGAATTGCCTGAATGATTGCCTCTCTGCATAACACTCAAACCCTAATGGCAACAACATGAAATAATATCTCACTGGGTAACTATTTACATTTTTTTTTAACAAGCTGTAAGAACTCTGCAAAGTCTGTCTCATAGAGAACTTGGTTTTCCTTCCCTGCGTTTAATATCTTTCAGCGGCTGGCAATTACTACCTTGGCCCGGAGCCCTGAGTTAGCACAGCGCACTCAGGGCTCTGGAGGCATTTCCTCAGCTGCCCCACCCCTGGGCTTCAGACACTGCCTGGGGCATGACAGGGTCACTAAGGAACTGTGGCAGCAAACTGGCAAGAGCCAGCCCAGCCAACCTCACAGGAAGACTGCTTCAGTGACGAAAAGCATTCCTAGCATGTTCTGTCATTCCATGTGTCCCAGGACATCTGTCCATAGACTGTGTTTTGTCTGACCTCCCACTGGACTGTGGGTGCTTCTGTTTTCCCCATCCTCTGTCATCTTACTGCCTAGCAATGTTTGACCATGAAGGTAGTAGCTGTCATTGAGTGCAGGTACTGTTCTAAGTACTTTATATACATAGCCCTAATCATAGAGGAGGACATGGAGGCACGGAGAGGTTTGGTACTTACCAAGGCTCAATGTATTAAATACCCAATAGTTTCTCTCCTCTCCACCTCCCTCCACCTCTCTTTTCTTTCTTCTTCCCCTGCCCTTCCCCCTTGTGGTGGCAGGAATCAAATTCAGGGCCTTGCTCATGCTAAGCAAATACTCTATCACTGAGCTATATAGCCCAGGCCTAAATGCTTATATGAATTTTACGTATATGGGGCTACTTATTTAGAGCTCATCTCACCATATTCACAAAAAAATTAGCTGTGTTTTAAAAAATGTTGACTATATAACCATGTGGAAGCATCCCCCCCAAGTTCTTCTTGCTTTTTGGAGACAGGGTCTTACTACATACATAAACTCCCAATCCTCATGTCTCCTCCTCCCAAGTGCACTGTGTGTGTGTGTGTGTGTGTGTGTCTGTGTGTGTCTGTGTGTATGTGTGTGTGTCTGTGTCTGTGTCATGGCATGTGTGTGGAGGTCAGAGGTTAACTTTTGGCTCTCTCCTTCTACCAAGGGGTGGGGGGCAGGTATTGAACTCAGGCTGGCAGGCTGGCAGCAAGCACCTTAACCCACTGAGCCTCAGAGCTGGACCCAAGTGCATTTTTGTGTTCTCTTACAACAAACTTCAGACTTATTTTGGGCAGGTTGGA